GCAAGCCAAAGCCCTTACAATTGTAACAGTTTTCTCACAACCATTTATACAGGTTTGGTTGTCCTATCAGGAAAATAATTAAAAGCTTGCCAGAGTGCTTGCAATGGCAATTTACATGGTTTTATCTGGTGCAGTACTCCAATGCACGTTCTGGGGTTCACAAGCCTTGAAAACCTGTGTCTAACATTTTCAGGGTTAGGTAAGCATTCCTTCTAGACATGGGGAATTTTCATGCACAGGTGCCATGCACATGTGGAACTGTGAGGCTGGCTTTGTACTCTTATGCATGGTAATGGGTTTCTTTATGCCAAACACGCAGCTGACTAAATACATACCATCTTTCTACAACAAACTACAGAAAGAATCGCTGAATCACTGGAATAAAGTACAGGATACACAATGCTTTAGGATCTCCCCCCAAAAAACAAATTGCATTTGCATAGCACTTTTTATATAGGATAATATCTTGAAGTGCTCTAAAAAGATGTAGGTCAGGCAGCAAGTGTGGGGGATCCTCGGGGGGATGCGATGACCATTAGTGCAGTCAAAGAGGTTTTCAACTACTCTTCTTCTATAACCTTTTATGTTTATTTTGATTTATAAATAAAACCTATTTTTATTTTGGGGTCTGTCTTATGATTTTGATTGTGTCCTACCCAGGGAGGGAAAGAGATAGATGGGTTGTGAGCTGTTAGCATTGTTCCTGCAGTACCATCAGATTACTGTCATTAGATTGGTGTCATGAGCTCTATCTATGAAAGAGGTCAAACCAGGGAATCTGGAACGATGAAACTCGAATATAGGGCAGTTTTTAGGAATAGTGTGCCAGTTTTTAGGAATAGTGTTAGGAAAGAAAAACAACAAAAACAGAAATGCTGGAACCCACATTAGCACCGAAAGAAGATTAGTCAATGTTTCAAATATGACCCTCCACAGAAGAGTTTAGTCCTGATGAAGATTCATCAGCCTATCTCTTTAAAATTGATGAGGTGCTGTAGCTATTCAGCATTTCTGCTGTATTGCCATTTCAGATTTCCATTATTTGCAGTTTTGTAAGATAAATAGTTGACCGAGAATGACTCGGGCAGAAAAAGGTGAAGCAAATGCAATTAATATTATACTAATCCTTGTATTTGATATAGGACCGCACCACATCATTGAAACGTCTTAAAGCGATTCACAGGATTTACAATAAAGTGTAGTGACTTGTATTTTGTAGGCGATTTTTGGAACCAATGTATGCACATCCCACAAAACAGCTATGTAATGATCAATATTATGTGGGGAATTATTGGCCAGAACCCAGGGAGAAAGCAACTTCTGTTTTCGAATAGTGCCATGGGACTATTTAATGTCCACCTAAAGAGGCAGACAGGACCTCGTTTTAATGTCTCATCCAAAGGAAAGAAACAACCTACAGAAAAAGCACATAATGAATTAAGTAGCTTTCAGCAGGTGAACAACTGGGAAGTGTGTTTTCACTGTCACTCTTCATAATGGTGGCTACATAGCAAGTCCAAGGCTCTGATAATCTTGAAGTCCTGAGTGTTCAATATAAAATTCTCCCTGAGGTGTTATTAACATGTAACATGTTAATAACACATGTAACATGTAACACGTGGATACAAAAATCTATCTTACTAACAAGAATATCTAGAAGAGCAAACAATATATTAAGCCTGTGAGTTCTGAAGAATTTCAAAAGCAAAATCACAAAAGAATTAAAAGAAGGATGTTTTACATTTTTTTTTAAAAAATCTGTTGAAACTAGCAGCTAATATTGAATAATTATAGCCTGAGGTTAAGAAGAGATCACGCAAATATAATTAAAAGCAACTATTCTAATAGTAATGTCAGGGAGATTGACAGCTGAAAGAAAGATTGGGCTTCACCTGAAATACAATCATGATTATATTACAGGCAGTGTAGTATAAACATTCTGAGTGTAAATCTATAGCTTGTAGGATACTGTATATCATGTAGAGAACAATGGAGAGCTGCCAATAAGTATTACAAGATTGTCATAATCTGAAAGGTTTAGATGATCAGTACTGTGGGAGATTGCGCTCACTTATAATGATCCAAACCTTGTGGCTGCTCCTAAACATGGTTTATTTATATCTAGATTGCATGGAAAATAAGAAGATCTTCGGCCCCAAAACCTCCAGCTCAGAGCTCCTTGCTCTTACTTGCAAACATTATAGACTTGATCTAAATACAGGATTAACACAAAGGGTTTCCTGTACGAGCAATGGAGATGCTGCCTCTAAATTGGTAAAATTCTATATGGCGTTCTCTCTCATTTGTTGCTTCAAATAGGTTTGAACATATTGTTTAGAAACATGGGCCATATTTTCTGAGGGTCAGTCAGTTTCATGTTGTTTTAACATCAATCAAAAATGGAAGATTTGGCAGTTAATGGGTTGAAAAACTGATCAAATGATATTACTGATTCAGATGATATATGAATACAATTATCATGAAATGTCCAGAGGCTCTGGGCAGGATTTACTCTCTTATTCTGTTAACGGAGAGTCCTAAAATCTATTGTTTTTATTATGAACACATCACATACAGGTTCCAGAAATCTGTATAGCATGAGTTGGCCATATGAATTTCCCACTGAATAGTGGCTGTGGTTAGCAGGGAATAAAAACATATATAGTGAATATACCAAGAAACTACAAATAATTGAAGTGTTTTGAGTAGAATTCACACATGAAGCAACTTTAATTAATGAAACAAGTGTAATGTTTTGTCAATAACCAGTAAAGCATGAGGGACCATGATTTCCATAGCAACCTTTCTTTAATACAAAACTTGTATAAAATTTCTCTGGGTTGCCTCTGAAGTGTATTAGCAATTATTCATTGAACTCAAATGATTAATTTTTCATCCCATTGACTGCCAAATAATAATAATAAATAAATAAATAATCTTCCATGCATGCATATATATATACACACATGCACACGTATGCATCGTTATACAAGACACATGCTGACTACTAACAATCGTTAAGTAACATAATGTTTGCATTTCAATAGGACACTTTATTAGCACATTTATGTTACTGGCTTTCTACAGATGGCAGCTGTAAAATTGGTGCAAATGGGTAATACAGTATTAACAAGGTAGTGTGCACCAGGAAAATAGTTTCAGTCTGTGCTTCCACAGCAGCACACATGCAAAGCAGCTTCCTGAAGTGCTTCTGCAATATAAAAACAACATAAGGCAACTCACAGAACTTTGAAGTATGACATTTACAGTGAATCAATTAAGTCTGTAATAATGAAGTCAAACTGGGTCCGTTGCCCAGGCGGAGGAAAAAAAAAAGGAAAGGAAAAAACTGGATTATTATGTTTTTGTGCAAGATGCTGCTATGATCTTCAAAGTTACAAAATATGAAAGAAAATAAAACTTGATTCAATTTTTGTAGTTTTGCTCTTCAGCATTGCTAGCGAGGAATGGGTCGGTCCCACATTACAATGTATCTTTTGTACAGTACTTGAGTCCTTGGTCTTCCATTATAAACCGGTATAATAATAATAATAATAATCCTTGCATTTGATATAGCGCTTTTCACGTCGGGAGGACGTCCCAAAGCGCTTCACAGAATATACTGTAAAGTGAATTGACTGTATATTTGTGGGCGAACGCGGCAGCCAATTGCGCACAGCAATGTCCCACAAACAGTCGTAGATTGAAAATGACCAATTTATTATTGTTTTGGGGTTTTTTGGAGGGATTATTATTAGGCGTGTGGAGTAAGGAAACTTGCCCAAGGTTTCGCCCTGCCTGGTATATAAACACATCAAGTATAGATGCAAATATTTTTAATTACTGGCGTAATTATCTCTTGGAAATAGATGTGTATGAAGAGGAAGATAGCTTCCTTGATACTCGGGTCCTAATAAATCTTTACATTTGATATATATAGCCCCTCATCACATCAAAACATCTAAAAAAAATGCCTAATCAAAAGGACAGCATCTCTGACAAGTCAGCACCCTCCAGCACTGCATTGGAGTGGCAGCTTAGACTATGAACTCCAAGCTGCAACGTGTGGCTGGAGCCCATATCCTTCTCACTCAGAGGTGAGACAGCTGCTGACTAAGTCAGGCAGACACCTGGAATTAGATGGTTTTAATACATCAGGATTGGTTTCAAATTAGAATTTACCTCCCTTCTTGTAAGGGAGCCTCCAGCCTCCGGTTCATCCATCGTCCCTCTGCTCCACCATAGGTGGCTGTACCTTCAGCCACTAGGCCCTGATACTCTCTCTGTCCCTCAATCCCTCTGCGTTGCCCCCTCCCTCCCCACTTTCAAATCTCACCTAAAGACCTTCTTCTTGATCTTGCTGACATTCACCTCCCCCTCCCTCTGGCTCGCAGTCAGACTCAGTTACTGTCAAGCGCTCCGGGATGCTCCCCCACGTGAAGGGCGCTATAATAAATGCAAATTGTTGTTGTAGTGAATGAGCCAATGGTTTCTCGCCCCCCCCCCACACAAAACTCTTGGAGTGGTGTACTGTATATATGTGGAAATTGACAGAATATGAAATAATACATAATATACTCTGTACCTACCTTCAAAAAATCCTGAAGGTTTCTCTCTTTGCCTGTGCTTACATTGCTTCAGCAATCATCCCCTAGCCTCTCCCATCTCAGGTTCCCACACTGTCCTTGTAAAGCACTTTGCGAGACATTTTTCCAATGTGAAGCATGGTGGTATACAAGTGCACATTGTGGTGTATTTGCTCCAAGAATCGTGTTGGCCACAACAACAAATTTATATAGTTGTTTGCTCAGGATAGCATCTTGGGAGCACTGAACACTGGCAAGGTTGGACACTGAGCAAGGGGGAAGAGGGAGGTAACCATACACACAGTCGAAGAGGTAGGTCTTAAGGCTATTAGATTATATACATGTGTCTGTGGAGAATTATATAAGTGTTAAACTCACACCATTTGATCTAGGTAAAACAATAGATTAGAAAGGTGACACAAATTAGTGTTTATTTACTGTACAAATATTCTATTACAGGAATGATTCAGTCCATCACCAGAAAGTATTTCTGGCAGTGCTGGAGTTCTATGGTATTAGTACCGAATACAGACAACCAAAGCTTGCTGATTTTTCAAAAAGTTACAAAACAAATCATAGGTTCCATGATTTCATACAGAGCCCTTTAAAAATCTACTGTCACAGGTTAAATCAGAGCACAAAAAAAACATGTAAAAGTGATGGCACTCATCAGAGGATATGTGCTACATTCCCACAGTTAAAGCAGGCCCTGTAAACATTTGGAGGTCACATTTCATGAACAAATGCTCTTGCTCATTTTTGGGGACTTGTGCTTTTTGCACCAAGAGCATTTCATCATTCGTTCCCACAGTGTATAATGAACAGTTCACACTTTTATATCAGTAACTATCACAACTGCAGCACTACCACCCATCCATTATTGCTTGATATGCCTGGATCTGCAGGTTTGTTATTTTATTAGAACTTTCAATTAAAAGCATATGTTCTTTTGTAGAAATAAACCGTATCTTTAAAATACCAAGTTCTGCTAGGTCATAAATGGAGATACATATTCATCCATTCAAAATTTACCCCCCACTCCTCAAAATACACCTCATATGAAGCTAATTGTACGATAGCGTTTCAAGTTTAAAAGATTTGTAGTTTTGTTTATAAACAACGTTACAAAACATTGGTTCATTATTTTCCTAGTGTTTTTCAATCAAACCCAAGCTACGTATAAAATTTAAAATCTCATGCTGCATTTCCAGTTACACCAATACAAAGATTGAACACAGTGCAATACTCAAACATACCACAATCATCTTATTATTGAGGTTTCCCAGTAAATCAAGTTCAGCTCTTGTATCGTCCAGATTTTACAGACCTGGGCCAATTTAGTTTAAGAAGTTTAAATCTGATTGCTATCCATTTATGCAGGCTAAAAAGTTAGACTCAATCCTCTTCAAAAATACATGATTTCTCATTAATACCTAAGTTAGAGTTTCATAGGATCAAAGAAGTCTTCACATTACGATACACAGGCCCTATTCTGTTGCTCCTCCAAACCACCATATTTAACATAAAAATTAAGTGTTCACAAAAAATTAGTTCCTTTAGTACCCTGAAATGAAATGGCAAAACGATTAACAAATGTTCTGTTAAAAAAAGTGGTTCTGTGCAACTGCGCACTGGAATTCCAGACTGTGACCATCATTGTGCACATTGGTAAAGCACTGAAAGGCAGTCACCAACTGTGAGTTTTGGCAGACCAACAAGCCTTGTGCAGTTGATGTGGCTTATAGATTATCTCCAGGTTGGTACTGGGGCTCTGTTGCAGTAAAGTAGTCTTCCAGGAAGGATTGTATATATTCAAATGTTGGTCTCTCGTCTGCATCTTTTTTCCAACACTGTTTCATGAGCTCGTGGAGAGAATCTGGACATCCCTGGGGACAAGGCATCCTGTAACCACGTTCCACTTGCTCCAGGACTTCTCTGTTCACCATACCTAAAGATGGTTGAACAATGGTAAGTAAATTGGATTTCCAACAAAGTTAAAAATTAAAGCTTGACCGAGAAAAATGAATATAGAGCTCCAAATGTAGGGTTCCTAAACACACTCAGTTCCTAGTTTAAGGAAACATCTTCAAAATTTGGTTTGAAATACACATCACTACTGATAAAACATTGTGTAGATTATGTGAAAGGACTGGTGTTGCAGACGGAGAAAGAAAAACTGAAGGGTGCTTGGAGCTGCGCAAGTGGTTCAGAGACCAAGTAACACAATTCTATCTAAAATCTCCTAGGGCCCCATTCTGCTTCTTGAGCTGTCTAGTCATCGATGTGATGCTACCTATAATAAATCAACAGCTAAAGATAACAACCGACACTGCAGCTCAGGCTTCAAAACTGCACAACTGATAACTTGTTCTTCTCTCAGATAGCTCAACGAATCATTTGTACATTTTAGTAGATGTTTTACTGGAAAGCCCACCGCTGTTTATATTTACCTGGATATGGCACTCTACCCTTGGTAACTAGTTCTGTCAGCAGGATTCCAAAAGACCACACATCAGATTTGATTGTAAACCGCCCGTACAAAGCAGCCTCTGGGGCTGTCCACTTAATGGGAAATTTGGCTCCTAAGGGGAAAATAAAACAGGTTAGACATTATCTGTGCATAGATATATAGTCCCGGGCATGCATAGAATGGAGTTGATAGCACTTACCTTGCCTTGCAGTATACTCATTGTCTTCGATCAACCTCGCTAAACCGAAGTCTGCTATTTTACACACAAGGTTGTCACCTACAAGGATGTTGGCTGCCCTCAGGTCTCTGTGGATGTAGTTCATTCGTTCAATGTATGCCATGCCATCAGCAATCTGATCAAAAAATAGAAGGTTCAAAACATTTGAAGACAGATTTTCACATGGTTGTTTTTGTCACCCATAGTGAAACAGGAGATTATATTTGAAATCATATCATTGTCAGACAAAATATTTCAAGTGTCAGAATTGATTAAAATGTACTACTCTTCATAGGATAGTTCGTGCTTTTTAACCACAATAAGATCGTTGGCTGTGGATGGAGAATTTGTTTTCCACAGAGGGTTGTGACAACCCTACTATGATGATGGTCCAAATTAGTTCTTAAAATATCTGAACAAATATAAAAAAATGTACGTGGACAAGGCAAGAGAATAGATAGCTAAACAGATAGCTCTTTCAGAGGCAGTCACAATGGGTTGAATGGCCTCTTCTGTGCTTTACAAAGTTCTAGTTCTGAGTTTATATATCCAGGATGAGTCAGCCTTTGAGGGATTGCAGTTAACTAAGTTCACAGTTCAGTTACTAGTCTGGATATACTGTATTATTACGTCAATATTGCCTGATGCATCTGGCAATAATTGAACTTTGGGTTGTCAAAAAGCAAGATAAGCAGTTTGCTTTCAGTCAATTACAAAGTAGTGAAAAGCTATGATTCAACTTAAAATAAAAAATAAGGCAAAGAAAGGTAGGAAACCGGCAAGAGGGTAAGCTACAGATATTGCTTACATTCAGTTGATTAGTAAAAGTTAATCTTAACGTTTGGTAATTTTAGTAATGCAACATTAGAAGAGTTTCCGATGTCTGTGCCCGAGCTGCAAACACACAAATCACTTAGCTCAGGAAGATGAAAGCCCATCGGTGACCGGGCTTCTCAGCCTCTCTGCCCCCCCACTCTGGAACTCCATCCCACGGTCCCTTCGCCTCGCTTCCTCCCTTGCCTCCTTCAAGGCCAGTCTCAAGACTCTTCTCTTCGACCGCGTCTTTGGTCTCCCTCCCACCTCTCTGCCTTCCCTCACCCCTACACCACCCTTTCCCCATGCTCGGGCCCCGATACCTGACTATTCAGCTCCCGACGTGAAAGACGCTCTATAAATGTAATTTTGTTGTTGTTTGATCTTCTGACAGTCTGAGGATGAAGATGTGATATTAAATCTATTCTGCAATCCCTCATATCTAGTTTGCAATGAATTTTTGGTTATGAAAACTCATTACAATTCAGTTTTTTTTGTGCCAGTGGCTATATAGGAGTTATTTTAAACTTTTTCATGAGAAGTGTAGAATTCTGTACCAAAGTTCTCACCTGTGCAGCCATATCAACAAGCTGAGGAAGTTTCAGAAATTTCCCATCCCCTTCCTTTACAAAATCCAATAAACTTCCTGCAAAGGAAAAGTACATTAGTCTTTGGTTTTAATGACACCCATTTCAGAATGTTTTTAAACTTATGGTCAGTGCTACAACCACTAGAAATGGAAAGTTTACAGAACCACCTCAATACCAGCTCAGCTTCATGACTATTGTAGCAGCAGTCCTTTGGGCTTTACAATCCAACACAAACAATTTGAATCACCCCACAATCCATTACCAAGTTTGGATGGAATTCTGGACACCATTGGTGAAATAAAAACACTTCCATCAGGTAAACGGGCGTCAAAGCAGACCACATGCCATGCCTGAATCAAGGCCAACAGGCTCATTCAGCAGTTTGCTCTCAGAAAAAACCGAACAAGGCAACTTCAGATCAAATAACACAGTAACACCTCGCGTTGCTAACAGGCATCCAACTTGTGTCAGAGCTTCACATCATTATATCTAGAACACTACACTTTATTTTATTACCTAGAACCTATTTCTAACCACTCTGCAGTACAGAGCTTTGAAGATCTAATGCAGTGTGCATCATACTGTTTTTTCACTCAATCATTTCAGTCAGTTAACATACCAACAGAGATACTCAAGAGGACAGTGTGGAATGTTCACCCGCTCAACAATCCTCCAGATTAATTGGTCAATCACCTCATGGCTGTTTGTGGGACATTACTGGCGCAAGTGTTTGCCTTTGAAAACAATTATACTGGGCAGCTGTGAAGCCTGCTGAAACATTTCAATGTGATAAGATGCTTTAAAAATGCAAGTGATTCTTCTACTGGTGCATTGAAGTGCCATAGATTCATCGCAACATAACATCCCAATTGCAGTCATGCACATGCGATGGGGGAAGGGAGAGGCGCAGGGTGCTGGTGGGGGGAGTTGAAGCCAGTAGAGGGATCAGATACTTCATAAAAGAAAACTGAAAGGTGAATTGCTAAAGGCTGCTCTTCTCACACACCTCATTGTGGCTGGATCAAAGACTGGAATAAGGTCCTTTGTCATTACTGAATGATGAATGGCATAAGAGAACAGAGAGAAATTAGCTTAAAGCAAAGGACAAAACTTCAAGGTAGTTTACTTTTCCTCCAATGAAATAGCAGCAAAAACGTACTGCTATAGTAATGTAATGCCAAGTATTACAAATTGGTAATCTGCCCAAAATGAAACCGCACAGTTGTAAATATCCAAAGGAATCATAAAATCATAGAATTATACAGGACAGAAGGAAGCCATTCGGCACATCCTGTCTGTGCCGGCTCTTTTAAAAGAGCTATCCAATTCAATCCCACTTCTCTGCGCTCTCCTCATAGCCCTGCAAACTTGTCCTCCCCAAATAATTATCTACTTCTCTCTTAAAAGTTCCACCACCCTTTCAGGTAATGCATTCCAAATCCGAACAACTATCTATGTGAAAAAAAATTTCACCTCCCCTCGGTTTCTCTTAACAACTATTTTAAATTGGTGTCCTCAGGTGGAGTCCTGTAGCTCAGTGGTCAGAGCACTCGCCTTGCAAGCAAGACACCTGGGTTCAATTCCAGGCAGGGCGAAACCTTGGGCAAGTTTCCTTACTCCACACGCCTTATAATAATCCCTCCAAAACAATACAATAATAAATTGGTCACTTTCAATCCACGACTGTTTGTGGGACACTGCTGTGCGCAATTGGCTGCCACGTTTCGCCCACAAATATATGGTCAATTCACTTTACAGTCTATTCTGTGAAGCGCTTTAAGATGCTGAGAAGACGTGAAAAGCGCTATATCAAATGCAAGGATTATTATTATTATTACCGACCCACTTGCCAGTGGAAATAGTTTTTCTTTGTTCACGCTATCGACTCCCCTCATAATTTTGAAAATTTCTATTAAGTCTCCTCTTAACATTCTCTGCTCCAAGGAGAATAATCCTAGCTTCTCTAGTCTCTCCTGATAACTGAAGTCCCTCATTCCTGGTACCATCCTGGTAAATCTCCTTTGCACCCTCTCCAATGCCTTGACACCCTTCCTAAAGTATGGTGCCTGGAACTGAACACAGTACTCTAGCTGAAGCCTAACCAGTGTTTTATAAAGGTTCATCATAACTTCCTGACTTTTGTATTCTATGCCCTTATTTATAAAGCCTAGTATCCGTATGCTTTTTTTTATAACAGATAAAGTTAAACACAAAATTGGGAGTGTTAACATTTTTTGTTAACATTTTTTAGCACAAAATTAGAGGAATATCCAATGGACAAAGAGCATGAAACAGGTTACACAATGCCAAAGATCCAAAATACATAAATGAACACTGTATTAAGGTACAAATAAGCCCTAGCAGCTTATCCTTTCGTTGACAAGCGTGCTGCAGAAAATGGACCAGGCTAGTACAAAGTGCCCATTGAAACAGTTAGAACTAGGCCAGATTAAAGTTTTGTGGTCCTGGTGCAAAAATATTTTACAATTATTTCTAAATCAAAATCATTTGAGAATGAAAAANGTTATAAATTGATGTACTTTTTCCAGCAACAGTTGGAAAAAGTCATACAACATTGTTATTTTCCCAATAGCATTAAGAGATCTGATATCATTCTGTAGATTTTCAGGGGACTGCATGGTTTTCACACTATTCTTTCATTTTTGGGTTTCGATCGAGCACGAAAGGATGACATGAAAGAGTCCACTGTTTACGGTCATAAGGCTTTATCATGAAACCAATCTGGACAGTTTTAACACAGCTGTAAATGGGCACAGATCCATGAGATAAAAGGTACTAAATATTAAATTAGGAATCTCACTCAGAGGCAGAGGTGGTAAATGAAAACACTTACACTATTACATGTGGAAAATTCTCTGCTTAGATAGGGATTATGGCAGATTATTGAGTACAGCTTTCATGTGCACATACCCACCCATAGCAGTGCTGTTCTGCAGAATAGCCACCTCGAAAAACACAAATTCCCCTTATGAACTTCTTTACAGCCATGACTTATGTACACTTTCTTGTTAATTACAAGCACATAAAAAGTGTGAGTAAATCTTATCTTTATACTTTTTTTGTTAATAAAGCATACACGTTAATTCAAAATCTTGTTGGTCAACTGGGTATGTGATGTACACAGAAGCCTCATCACCATGTTAAGAGTATTGAAACCACACTAGTGTTCCACATGAAAATGTCCTTTTGTGCGTAATAGTGTGCAGTCTTCCCCCAGAGGGATGCATAAATTAGGCATAAATTGTCAACAGATGAGGCTTGGGGACTGCAGAGTATGCACTGGAATACTACACCAGCTAAAACTGCAAAGCACTGTTGGCAAGCTTCTTGCTGCTTGTCCAATTATAACCACTCTTGCCACCAGGGATCTGGTTAGCCGGAGCTACGCGGAAAGAATCCCCATCCATAATGACTGGTTTGCCCATCAACAAACGTGGCCCTGGAGCACTGTGGACTCATCTGTCCAGGGATTCCACCACAGGGGATCGACTCAATCCCAGTGTTCGATCAGGCACATCATCTTGGAGTCAAATCAATTCCAAAGAGACTCCACTCCCCCAACCCACCCCAAGGAGGACAGCAGTAAAACATACTGACCTTTTGCCATATATTCCGTTACAATGTAGATTGGTTCTTCAGAGACAACAGCATAGAGAGGGACAAGTTTATCATGACGCAATTTCTTCATAATCTGAGCCTCTTGTAAGAAGGCCTCTGGGGACATGGTACCAGGTTTTAGGGTTTTGATTGCTACTTTAGTGGTTCCATTCCAAGTTCCTGAAAAAAGTGGATATCTTATTGAAAACATTGCCGGAACTCAATTGGTAAAGTATACATCTCTTCCACCTCAAAAATAAGTTATCTTAATAATCGAGCAAGGGAAGGACAACAAATTGCTCAAACAGGCACCAGTACTTACACAAAATATACAGTCAATTCACTTTACAGTATATTCTGTGAAGACCTTTGAGACATCTTGAAGACGTGATAAGGCACTATATCAAATGCAAGGATTATTATTATTATTAAACAGAATTGTGATCACTTTTACTATTCAACCATTGCCATCTTCAAATTCCTAGCCAATCTCAGCTAGTAGTGCAGTAAATGGTAGAGTGCAATGAATACAGAAAGGGCAGCAAAACTCAGGAGTGATTACTTAACATTTTGCAATGGTAAAAGTACAAAAGATGCTAAAATTTCTGTTGGTTGCTTCTTTGAATATAGGCTCTATTACTTAATGTTACTCTTCTTCCCCATCTTACAAAAGAATTGACTGAACTTACCCATCCACACTTCACCAAAACAGCCTTGCCCAAGTTTAAGTTCCAGACGTAAGGAATCCCGAGGAATTTCCCACGCATCTTTTGCTAATCCTTGGGTTTGTGGTTTCACGGTAGGGCAGACATTAGTTAATCGGTGGCACAAACCATCTGCATGATCTAAAGAAACATGAAATTCAGTTTTCTAATCATTAAATAAAACGATCAGAAGAGACAATAAAGCTCCATTTTATGATAAGAGTATTTATGTGGTCTGCGTAAGTGAATTTAGAGGTGATCAGTAACTATATAGTCAAAAGTAGAAATGTAACTTGTCCAATAATAGTCCTATGTTCTCATGTATTACCAAAATTTCTCATTTTCAGGGATTATTTCAGGCAATTATTCCAGGAATTGTGCTAGTATGGTCATTACAGCCAAGAAGTGTTCAGATCTAGTGGAAAGCTCTGCTTGGATCATGTTATGGAAATTTAACAATAGAGTTGGCAGCAATTCATTATTCTGTACAGTGTATTTCAGAAACCTGGTGCATCCAATAAGCACCCAACAATCTACAAATCTCACTTTTACTTTTACGTTTTTACTTTTATTCATGAATAAATTTGCAACTTCACATACAATATGTGTGTGGCCACTAAGGAAATTAACTTTTCAATCGGTGCATGTATCTGTAAGACTCATATAAAAAGGTACTTCTATAAGAGGAGATTACCTGTATAGTGTTTCACCAGTTTCTGTAGTGATTCAAACTGTGCTCGTGTTGTAATATAATAACCGCCACTATCAAGCTTTCTGATTTTGTAGTGTTTCACATTATCACCTTTCACTTCATCCCAATCTCGTATTGAAAGAGAATATGCACCTAAAAGCAAGTTAGGTACTTATTAAAATAAGAAATTACAACAATTACATAGGAATATTGCTCCATACTGCTGTAAACCTTTCCTTATTTTATTTGGGGGATTGTTATCCAGGACCAGGATAAATTCCCTTCTCTTTTCGAATAGAGCCATGGGATCTTTAATGTCTGGCCCTGGACAGGGAAACAGGACCTTGGTTCATGCTTCATTTGAAAAACAGCATCTCTGACAATGCCAAACCCCCCAGCAATGCATTGCTGCGTTAGCATAGATGATATGGGTTCCAAGTTTCCAAGTCCCGACATGGGGCTTAAATTCACAACCTTTTGACTCAGATGGCGAGAGTGCTACCAAGTGAGCCAGGTTGACACAAGCGAGCCAGTTATATGGAGTGAAAGTGTAATTAGGGTTTTAGCTCTAAATGGTGATACTGCCAGAAACAAAACAGTTTTGTAGTGCAGCATTAAATGTCCACAATTTTTCTCCCTTCCAGATTTTCCTCAATCCAGTGCATGCTTGGATCTTGTGATACATGTTTATACAGATGTCACTAATACAGGTGGATAGCTAGCCTGCCAAGTCAAACGAAGGAGCAGTGAATAACGACAAATGATGAAATTGCTCAGCCTAATTCTGTTATCTAATATACACACTAATATACATATTTCAGCAGGGGGTCACTGGATGTTGAGTTTGGATGTTGAATTTGGAGCATGATCACCCACTGCTTCTCTTTTCCCGAGCCAGCAGCCGTGAGGCAAATAGTACTATCCTCACTTGCTGTCCAGTTTAAAACTACTCAATAAACCAAAGCCAAAATCAGTCAACAAAACAAAGTCAAACTCTGTCCTTTCTTTTGAGATAAAGGAAATTTTAAATGTCACCGGATTCAAGTAATTGTAGCAGATTTGAGAGGAAAATGCATCAGTCGCTGAAATGCTTGTAATTTTAAGAACTGTGGAAAGCTATTATCAAATAAAGATTGAATTTTAAAGAACTTTGGAAAATTCTTCACTCTTAGTAAATATGAAGGCAATGGTTATGAAGCTAATCCTGTTTCAGAACTCTTGGATTTACACAAATCCATAACATTGGTCTGTTAAATTATTGTCCCAATCTTAAATCCTTTTTACCTTTTGTGGTTTCACTTTCTCTAACCAAGAATGTACCACGTGGATTTCCTGGATGTAGCAGCAATCGCTCTGCATCTTTGCGACCCATTTTACCAAAGTACCACCTAGAAATAAATACACAGGCGGACTTTTTAAAACTCAGTACGAGTTTGTAAAATCAACATAAAAGCACATGAATTTAATAATCCTTGCATTACTGAATAAACTAGATAATTTGAGCCGCTGGAAAATTTGCCGAGTTTTAGTTACTCTGTTAACTATTTGAAACACAAAATGAAGCAAGTGGAATGACTTGAAGAAAAAAACATTCCCTGGTCCCAGGGAAGCGGGTTGAAGTATGAGAGAGAGAGAGAGACTGGTGAATAAATGGGCAGGGCGAAACGTTGGGCAAGTTTCCTTACTCCATACAACTCTGTTCGCCTAGCAGTCAATAGGAACCCGGTTGTTAGTCGATTGATGGATCGCTTTTCTGGGGGTAATAATCTTTTCAAAAATAAATAAAATAATAATTTGGTCACTCAATATATGACTGTTTGTGGGACACTGGGGAATGAAATAGGTCAGGTTGAACAGGTTTCGGTAGGGGAGCATCTAGATAACAGCGACCATAATATTATTAGATTTAGATTACTCATGAACAGGGACAAAGTACAGTCAAGGGTGAAAATGCTTGACTGGAAAAGGACTAATTTTGATGGGCTAAAAAGGGACCTAGAGTTGGTGAACTGGCAAGTAAGACTAGCAGGTAAAACGACTCATGAGCAATGGTAGATATTCAAAGATATGATAGCTCAAGGTCTAAATAGATATATTCCCACAAAAGGGAAATGTGCGACAACCAAGCCAGCCTGGATGACCAGGGATATTCTGTCTAGGATGAAAAAGAAGAAGACGCAAGATACTGAGGATAGCAAAGTGCATGATAGAGAATGCAGGAGTGATCTTAAAAGAGTGATAAGACAGGCTAAAGGATCGCATGAGAAGAGGTTAGCGGGTAACATAAAGGGGAATCCTAAAATATTTTACAAGCACATAAAGGAAAAAAGGTTAGTTAAAGGTAGTGTGGGGCCAATCAAAGACAATGACGGCAATCTTGTTGTGGAGGCAGAGGGCATGGCTGATGTACTGAACGAATACTTTGCATCTGTCTTCACAACGGAAATGGATGCCCCAAATGCTGCAGTATTGGATGAGAGGGTAGAGGAAATAGATCAGATTACTATAGACAGAGAGGAAGTTCTGAAAAGATTGACTGGGCTCAAAATTGATAAGTCACCAGGACCAGATGGGTTTCACCCAAGGTTGCTGTGGGAGATACGGGTTCAAATAGCGGAGGCTTTGGCCATTATATTTCAATCTTCATTGGACACAGGAGTGGTGCCAAGAGACTGGAGAGTGGCTAATGTTACCCCCTCTACAAAAAGGGGCAGAAAGACAAACCCGGAAATTACAGGCCAGTCAGCCTAACTTCGGTAATAGGAAAACTACTGGAGACCATAATCCGGGACAGAATAAATCTCTACTTAGAGGAACATGAGGTAATTAGAGACAGCCAACATGGATTTGTTAAAGGCAAATCTTGCCTAACAAATCTAATAGAATTTTTTGAAGAGGTGACTGCGAGGGTTGATGAGGGAAATGCGGTGGACGTTATTTACATGGATTTCAAAAAGGCTTTTGACACAGTACCGCATAAGAGATTAATAAAAAAATTAGAGGCCCACCGTATTAAGGGGACAGTGGCAGTTTGGATTAAGAACTGGCTGAGTGACAGAAAGCAGAGGGTGGTGGTTAATGGGTGTTTCTCGAAATGGAAGGAGGTGTGCAGCGGTGTCCCCCAGGGATCGGTATTGGGACCACTGCTCTTTCTAATATATATTAATGATCTGGACTTGGGCATAGAGAGCACTATTTCCAAGTTTGCAGATGATACAAAGTTAGGTAGGGTAGTAAATAGTGAGGAGGACTGTAACCAACTGCAAGCAGACATACACAGAATGGTGGAATGGGCTGACATGTGGCAGATGCATTTCAATGTGGATAAGTGTGAGGTGATACAAGTAAGCGAATCATTAAAGGTAGCGGGGCAGGTAGATAAGGCAGCAAAAAAGGCATTTGGTGTACTGAGCTTTATTAGTAAGGGCATAGAGTATAAGAGTAGGGAGGTTATGGTTAATCTGTACAAAACACTGGTTAGGCCTCAGCTGGAGTACTGCGTCCAGTTCTGGGCACCTTACTTCAGGAAGGACATTAAGGCACTGGAAAGGGTGCAGAGGAGATTCACGAGAATGATACCAGGAATGGGGAACCTTAGCTATGAGGACAGGCTGGAGAAGTTAGGACTTTTCCCATTAGAGCAGAGAAGGTTACGCGGGGACCTGATAGAGGTCTTCAAGATCATGAAAGGTTTCGACAGGCTAGATAAGGAAAAGCTGTTTCCGCTGGTAGGTGTGTCTGTGACCCATGGTCACAGTCTTAAGATATCTACCAAAAGAAGCAGAGGGGAGGTTAGAAGAAATTTTTTCACTCAGCGAGTTGTTCGAATTTGGAATGATCTGCCTGAAAGGGTAGTGAAGTCCGATTCGATAACAGCTTTTAAGAGAGAACTGGATAGGTATCTGGAGAAGACGGGTTTGCAGGGTTATAGGGAGAAAGCTGGTGATTGGGGTTAGTGAAAGTGACTTGCTCTGTCAAAGAGCCGGCACAGACTCGATGGGCCGAATGGCCTCCTTCTGTGCCGTAACATTCTATGAATCTATGAAAAAAATCTCATCACATGAAGTATATGCATTTTTACAATCACCTAAAATCAGTGCAAGTTTAGCAAGCTTTGGACATCATGCAGCAAAAGCAATTTTAGTTCAAGTATTTAAGATAGTGGCGTGCATGGCTGTATCTGTACTAATTAGTACCTAGCATCTTGTGGTTTTGAATCAAGGTGTTTTTTTTAATAACACCTATATCAATAATCCTTGCATTTAATATAGTGCCTTATCATGTCTTCGAGATGTCTCAAAGCGCTTCACAGAATATACTGCAAAGTTGTATATTTTGTGGGCAAAACTGTTATATTGTATATTTTGTATACTGTATAACAAAATAAGAAAGAGAACAATAAATGCATAACACGTGGATAGTAGTCCACTATACTGTATTCAAAGGTTAGATCAGGTCTGGGACGGTTTTAATGCAAAATGATTGAATTGCAGCCAGACAGCAGATTAAACAGAGAGTTTCTTCACTACATTTATTCAATCCTCCTCTGCTTCAATCTCCACAAGAATCCTGTTTCATCTCAAGTCAGGTGTTTCTAAGCTTTCATTTAAAATGTATAAATAAAGAATGGTGTTATCATGTGAAAGTGCACAAATTGTCTCCAATCTCCAATACAACTTAAGCAAAGGGCTCTTCAATGAGACATAGTTATTTCCTGGGGATTGCCACATCCGTTTACATGAATTTGATGTACTAACCACTGTTCATGCCATTATGCCAGTATAACTACAGCATAAGGAGAACAGTGACCATATTTATTAATGAAACCATGTTGCACTGTTAAACAGTTTCACTGAGCTCCTGCAGTCACACGCCTATTAAAACAGAAAAGTGACCACTGCTCACAAAACAACTATATTAGACATGCTGAGAAGAAAAGAGGTGCAACAGCAGGAGGAAAACATCACACTGAGTAACTAATGAAAACTCCTTAGTAGTCTGCCAGCTGTTATTACCCACGAAAACATCAAGATCCACAATTAAAACATAGATGCTGCAGACATCAAACACTGGAATTTCTGACACCTGCAGCAAACTTGAGGAAAGTTTACAAAAGAGTTTTGAAATGTAAAAAGAGGTCTTACTCTTCGGCTTGGATAGAGTCAGCGGGAGCCACATAATTGCTGGGAATGTAACCTTTTTTTCCTGTGGTGATAGATCGGGCTTCCCACCAGTCTCCTTCCCTGTAACATCATATGACAAATAAATATATCCAGCAAAACAAATAGCCACCACTATAGTTGTCCATTCCAACTGATGTGACAACAAGGTTTCTTATCAAACACTGAGAATAAAACTGCTAAACTTCCATTTTGGGAATCATCCCAAAAAAAGTATTTAGAAAGCACTGGAACCAATATTGTTCAATACATGGGTATAATATAATACAAAGAAAACTTATTCTTTGAAACAAGAGTTAAATCTTTTTAGAAAGTATCAGCAAAGCATCCAGATAATGTACAAAATGAGATCCTTTTCTAACCCTGAAATGCAGATATCCTTTTCTTCATTTGTATTTTTTGGCCCTTTGATGTTTTGGAGACTCTCAGATTTAAGTCAGTCAAGCAGAAATAAAATAATCCATCTCAATCCACTGTTATAATGTATTCCACTAAACATAGTTCTAAGATGTTTAAAGAGGGAAATGGACTTGATTGCATTTACAATGATTATTTGAGCAACACAGACATTTATGAAAGGAAATGTGTAAATGTGTGATTTACAATCTTCGTGAAGCATACAGACTAATCTGTTGTGAGTTTATTGTCCTAAGAGTTACAAAACCCACATTTGTGTTATCATAAATGCAAAAGAAGGGAAAGCAAATATTCTAATTACAATGATAGATCTTCAAAGTTTTTGAATGTTAGCCGTCCCAATAATCAACTACTTACGTGTTATTTATGATCTGGAATCTTTCACCTTTTTTGAAAGACAGGTCTTCTGTTGTTCTAGCTTCATAATCATATAAGGCCACAAAAATGGTTACACCACCTTCAATGAGATGTGAACAATGTGGTTAGCATTAATTCCCCAAATTAAACAAAGCTTGGCAAGATGACATGGTTGACACGTATGAATGATCAATAACAACCAGATCTAGAAAACTTCAGTTTTTTTATAATTTTGCCAAGACATACCTATTTTATTTTAATATATTTTATAATAATATTATTATTTGACCTTGCTTTCGGTCATCTTTGCATTTTCCGCCCTTCCCCCCACCCTTGGCTCCCACCCCCAGCTCGGGTGCCTAGCCAGCAGTGTCATGTGCTTTGGGCTGTCCTCCTGATGCAAAAGGCACTATATAAACTCAATTTAAAAATGTTTTATATAGGTCTTGAGGCCAGATCCATAGCAGTTGAATTTTTGTCACCATTGCAACTTACAATTTCCCTCATCCTGAATAGTCATAACATGGACAGCAACCCCCCCCCCCACCAATTAATCTGAAGGAAACACTTAATTGTGAATCTTTCAAGCAAAAACCACACCAACTAAACAATAGTATTCGCTTAAACACAACTAGAAACTGATATGTCCAAAACGAAAATTGCTTTAATCTGAATGGTAAGTTTTCCTGATCGATTTGTGCAATTAAGCCTTGAAACAAAAGCTATTCATTTTCATATACCGTATAATGAGGGTAATCATCATACAATAACCCAGATCCACATGAAGTATTCAGTGCAACACCAAAGAAAAAACCTTAGCTCAGGGTAATAGTAATTGCAAGAATGTTTGTCTCATGCAGCACAAATAGATTAAAGGGCCGTGCATCTGAATAAAACGTCACAATTGATGCAACTCCCTAATTGCATGACAAAGTTTGTGTTGGTGTTTACCCCATCAACAATAGAAAATTGTGGAAATATGTCAAACATTGCTGGGAAAGTTTTGTGGGAAATTGCAAAGAAATTTGACAGAATTTGCAGAAAATTGATTGGTGCCATTGAGAGGTACATTTTACTGCCAACCTACATTTTTCACTCTATTGCTAAAACTAAACATGAAGAAATCACACATATTAGATAGTCACAAAAAAAATGATCAACGGTTTCTTTAACAAAAATTGGGTGGCCCACTGGGGGGAGAGAGAAACACCAATGTGACTGTGGGGCTCCAGGAGGTTACCACCTCCTGCATCTCGGGGCCTGCCACCGCACACGGACACAGAGAAGCACACACACTGAGAGAGAGAGAGAGAGAGAGAGAGATAGACACACCACACACACACACAGACATTCACTCACAGGCAATAGAGACACTCAGACAGACACACACTCTCAAGACACACTCAGAGAATGACACAAAGGGAGCGAGACACACACACACACACACAACGAGAGACACTCACAAACACACATAGACTATCTGAATAGTGGGTCCTCGAGGTGATCGGAGCCCATTTATCGCTTGCCGAGTACCATGCTTGCACGTCTGGAGCCGCTCCGGCCACAGTAGTGGCATTGAGTAAACAGACTGCAGCAGCGTGCAGAGGCCCGGGGCACAATGCGTTGTCACAGGGTTTTAACGGAGGATGTTTGTAGTGGAGGGGGGGGAGGAAGGGGAGTTTGTAGTGCAGGGGGGTGTTTCTAGCGGATTCAGCAGAAAAATTTCGCCTGCACTTTTCTATTGGCCTGGCTCATCAGACACTGTGTAGAGCAGAAGCATTCCAAAATACAGCAAACCATCCCTCCACATGTTTAGGTTAGCCCTTGTCAGAGAGTAAATTTCATTTGCTTTAATGTGCAATATATATAAAAACTTGTGTTCACTACCTTTAGTTTTCTTCCTGATCTTACTGCTAAGACGGTCAGCTTCCCTTCACTGACCCAATTTAATTTGAAGGAAACATTTATGGCCTTCATTTTTCTAAACACGTATGAATGTTATAATTAACCCATTTATCGGCAGTAGTATTATATCATTGCTAATGAACTAAAAGGCCTAGTGCATCACCACAAGGAGAAGCAGGAAGCTGGATTGAAGAGCCGAGAATGTTGTCCAGTGGTTACAAAACTGAAGAGATTTGATTATGAGTATGGAATAACAATATTTAGTCTCCTGTGGTGTTGAAAAGTTATTTATATCAATAATGTAATTAAAGGCCCTGAAGAAATGTAACCAATAAGAGCTACTCATCATGTTACCTAGCTTCAAAGGGTGCTGAAAATATCATTGCTTGTAATTTGCCCTTATTCAGTTGGACGTTAAAGATCCTGTAGTGTCCTGGCCAACAATTCCCTAAATAACATTTCTCATTCACTTCTGGGTGTTTGTGGGACATTGCTATGTGCAAAACTGGCTGTCACGTTTGCCCATAAAACACAGTCACTGCACTTTACAGTATATCCAATGAAGTGCTTTGAGACAACCTCCAGACGTGAAATGCGCAATACCAAATGTAAGGATTATTATTGTTGCAAAAGACCCTATGTAACTGCAGTTGTAGCTCACCTCAAGCACACAAAAACATTTCCTGCTCTGTAGTTTCCCTCATTTATCAGTACTAGATTCCATTTTCAATGATACAAAGACCATCAACTGACCCTGAAGGAATAAATTTGTTAGCCCCCCCAAAGTATACAAGCAAACTGTTCATAGAGGGTAGAAGAAATACCATTGGCTTTTAATCAACTTGACATACAAGGTCCTCCAGTAGTGAGACAATCAGTCAACAAAGGGAGGCAGTAAGGAACTTCAGGGACTCACCCGTAACACCACTTGTATACTGGCTAGGTACAACTGTGAATGATGAGGAAGCACCGCCAAATGGTGCAATACCAGCTGACCCACCAAATGGTGTGATGGAATGATTGTTAAAATTACTTGATCCCTTTGATGCTGGTGACTGTGTCAGTTGGGTTGGGTCAGGTCCGTAGTGAGTAATATGTACACCAACAGTTCCTGTAGTGTCATCTGGTCTGTACTTCATAGCTGGTCCTTTGTCCTCTTGCTCTTTATGCAGCCCATGGTTGAATCTGTAAGCACAAGACACTACCACTAGAATATAAATATTTAGACCATCTACTTTGACAGAAGAAAACTGACAAAAGAACAGGGAATAGGACAATTAGAACAAATCTACATCAGTAAAACAAGAAATAAAGCGCAACAATTCACTTCCCTGTACAAGAGCAGTTACAATTCAGGAATGCAACCTTGAAAATGAAGATTCATTAGTCTCAGTTAAAGAATGTATGATTGTGGAACTGTACAATATAAAAATATGTACGACAACAACATTTGAAAATGGAACACTACAACAATGTTACACAAGTTCAACAGAAGTTCACATTAAGTTACCTTACTAACGGCAGTTAGTAAAGCTATCTATCTGGCATTTGCTTGTAAAGTAGTCGCTACACTTTACAGTAAATCCTGCGAAGCTCCAAAACATGCTCTTGACGTGAAAGGCCCTATATCGAATGCCCCATTAAAAAATTTAACAGAACTAGTGAAATAAGTTGAAGTTGTTGTTGTTGAAATGTCAACAGAATAGGAGGCAATTCATCCCATTTTACTGGGTCGGCATTTGTTCCTTCAAGAAGCCATGCCAATTCCCAGCTCCCTCCATGTAACTCTAATACTTTTCTGCATGTGTGTATTCATTTTTTTTAGATGCCCCAATCAAGTCCGAGGTGACCTCCCACATTGTGATTCGTTATATTACAGATCTATTGGACTGGAACAACCTCAAAGAAGGGCTCAGTCAAACTGCTGTTACTGAATCTGTAGGGAGTTGGTCTTTGGGAGAGAGCCCAGGTCCAGCTTCAGATGGAGACCCGATTACTTCATATACGAGAGCAATCTCCCAAATCTGCATACCACACGTGGACTTTATTGGTCAGTCCATGCATTTCCTTAGCTAAGGGAACACAACTGTATGCTGCAAGCTTGTGAATGTGTTAACTAATACAACATCCAGGCAGGATACCCAGCAGACAAGGCATCAAAACTAATAGGCAAAGGGGTTTGAGCAGTCCATTCTAAATCCGGCTATAGTTTGAGCCAACTCAAATGCTTACCTTACATATATACTAATAAAACGACAATGTCTGTCTGCACTTCAAGAAGGATCTCAATAACCGACTGACGTAGAGACATGATTTATACCTCGTCGGAAAGGTCTTGCATCTGGGAGTGACATGGGCGTGTTTGTTTTTGGGTATCGCTGATCGTTCATGAGTTATGACCTTTTCACTGCAGTTACACCTGGTGGACGCTGAGTCAAAGTGGTTCTGTGGTATAGTACGTCACAGAACACCTACTTACATACGAAACGCACTGCAGTTACACCTGGTGGCCGCGCCGGCTGACTGTGGCACTGTGGCATCCTGCTTCACAAAGCATGCACTTAGCCAAGCGGCGGAAACAAAATAAAGAACACAGATGAAGCTGAGCTGCGACAACAACAACAAAATTACATTTTTAAAGTCCTTTCACTTTAGGAGGACATCCCAGTGATTATAAACTATGCATTTATATTTATCATTATAAAGATGCCTAAGCGAAAATCAAACCTTTCAAGTATAAGTAAAAATGCATCACAAAAGAGAGACGGCCCATTAAATGAAGCTGAAGAACAAAGAACAGCAAGGCTGAATGTCAATGCTGAAAGGACTGCAAAAGAGCGCCAAAATGAGCTGCCCACTCAAAGAACAGTACGGCCAAAATGAGTCCTCCCACATGAATATAGATAGAGATGAAATGTCTGTCTGTGTGTCAATCTCTACTCCACATTGGATCCTTTGGGTTGCAAGGGTAGCTGCAATGGGTCCAGGTTGTAATAAATAATAATAATCCTTGGATTTGATATATGAACGCATCAGTCTCAGCAAACACTGGCTAGAGAAAAAATACAGTATTTAAAGATTGGTTGTAATAATTCCAATGCATAATGCAAATATTATTTTTGTAATCAATGCTTTAATCTGTAAATATTGCAATCTAATAGTTCCACGAAAAGGAAATATTGTCTTGAAGTATTTTCTCAAAGCACTTCACAGAATATACTGTGAAGTGAATTGACTGTATATTTTGTGTGTGAAATGCATCAGCCAATTGCGCACAGCAGTGTCCCACAAACAGTTGTGGATTGAGTGACCAATTTTTTTTTATTTTCCTTTTTTTTTAAAAAAAAGGATTATTACCCCCGGAAAAGCGATCTGCCATTCGACTAACAACTGGGTTCCTACTTACTGTTAGGTAAACACAGGCGTGTGGAGTAAGAAAAATTGCTCAACCTTTCACCCTGCTCAGGAATGAAACCCAGGTCCTCTCACTTGCGAGGCGAGCGCTCTAACCACTGAGCTACAGGACTCCACTCAAATGTTTGTCCCAGTTTGAGACAGACATGGATGTCTGCTTCCGAGGCTATTTTCATTGACTGCTCATTATCCTTAGCCAATAGGGAGATAAGTACTGACATTTTTCTATGTTTCAGTGACAACAATCAAATACTGCTCAATACCGTGGGAGCCTGCGATACCTTCTCCGGATCTTTGCAAAAAGTGAAAGATTCTACATTCATTCCTTAAAAATTGAAGGCACGCCACCTCCAATTCTAACTTATTATAATATTGTGAAACTCCTGATCTCTTTCACAAAATCTCCAGGATTTTAAAATTTAAGCTTAGCACCACTTAACAACCTCTTAAGAACTCTGAGACGCTACCTTGCGTGGAGGGTGCTATATAAGTGCAAGTTGTTGTTGTTCTTAGCTTGTGCTTCATTCTACCCTCTTTAAACCAGGTGGTATATTTTACTATGGGACACAGTGTTTCCCTAGGTACTCAATAAAAGGCCCTAAAAATAAAATGACAGAAAACAAGTATAATTATTAATCAAGAGGCTCTGCAAGGATGACAAGATGTCTTAAAGTGCTTCACAGGATATACTGTATAGTGGACTGACTATGTATTTTGTGAACGAAACAGGACAACAAGTTTTGCACAGCAATGTCCCACAAATAGCCATGGAATGGGTGATCAATTTTATTTGAGGAATTATTGGTCAGGACACTGGAAGAAACTCCCTTCTCTTTTCATGGAATCATTAACGTCCATCTGAACAGGCAGACGGGACCTCAGTTTACCGTTTCATCCGAGGGATTGTACCTCTGACAACATAACACAACCCTAGCACTGCATTGGACTGTCAACTTAGACTATGTGATTCCAAGTCCTGACTTAGGGCTTGAACCCCCAACCTTCTGATTCAAAGGCAAGAGTTCTACCACTGTGTCAGCCTGACACATCTGAAAATTACACTCATTCAATATATATAGTTCCAGCTACCAAATTATAATAAAATAGAAAAAACGTTTGAATGGGAAGTTTTCTACATATCAGAAAAAGCCATTAACAATTTTCAAGATTTTAACTACCAGTTAAATTAGCTGCAGCTGGCTGAAGGGGCCATGGATGTTTTTACATGAAGAACTAGGTTCAACGAACACTTCTGCAATATCCCAGGCTGTCAAGGGTCATGTCTGTGAGTACCCAATTTACACTGCAGACTGGATTTCACACCAGCATCAACAGCTGTACATGAGCAGTTGCTTTTAAGTTGCACTTGCCAGTTTGATTTCTGACTGTTGCACCTAAGCTAACCAGTCAGCAAAAAGCAGCAGGGCTGGTCTATCTAGTATTGACAGATTTTAGAAAAGTATGGAAGCCTTCCCAATGTTATCATTTACTGCCTCTGTAGCCAACAAAGAAAATCAGGTCGATCTCTGTGCATCTGGAGCCAGTAGCACCTTACACTTACTTACAGCACGACACCTGATTGTATAACCTGCCACTTAGGCACTACTATTACGATAATGCATTGACATGCAGCATATCACTGATGTATACATGAATGATCTTGGTAAATCAACTAAAGAACATGCACCTTAAATCAACTAAAGAACATGCACCCTACTGTGCATTGTCAGCTTTCAGTGCACAGCAGCAGTTAAATCTGCAGCAGCTGATTCCTTTAAATCTACTAATAAAAGGTGTTTATTTCTTAAAAGTTTTACAATACTAAAATCGCCAGCACACTGAAAAACTATATTCAGCTTCCCCCTTTAATAATAAACTCATGGCTGCCTTCCATTTCAAAAGCCCTGTACAGTACAAGTTTAAATATAATCTCTCAAATTGAAGCAGAAAAGGCAGTTTGTTTTTAAGAGTCTATACATTTTAAAGAAATCATAATTGTCACTAAGAAAAAGAATCTTCTCAATTCCAAAATGTTCATTGATGGCCCTAACATAACCTGCACAAAGCAGTTACTGTATACAAATAATTAACCATATGGAAAATTTTAACATACTACATCAATTAATTGACAGGTATGTACACAGTTACCAATTTAAGAGACTTTTTTTAATGTTCTTCTTAAGGATAGGGATCAAGTCTATTTGAAACAGTATGCAGTATGTTTTCATTGTATGTTGATGGAGTAGGAACAAGCAACAATCCATTTAAATAAGGAAACGTTAAGAGCTTCTTAAAGAAAACTAAACAAGAACTTTGGTACAGTGGGTTTTCCCACTCTCCTGTGATCTCCTGGATAGAGTTTAAATCTAATCCAAAATGATGGGATAAAGCCAATACAGTCTTTGTTGTAGAATTAAACAAGTATGATGTGAACTACATTTGTGCAGAACTTAACTCCTACAAGACATGAGACTACACCATAAAAGCAATCATGACAAAATGGCAAACTCAATCAGAAGCCATTGGATGCCTGGGGTGGAAAATAGATATACTCACATGGGTTATATCAAAGGTGCACTATTTACATGGTGTTCAGGGATGCTTGCTGGGATCAGAAAACATAGGCACCGAGTACTGCCTATCACTTAGGCTAGGTGTCACAAGTATAGTGTTCAATAGCACAGGAATGTTCAAATGTCTACAAGATTACCAGGAGGTAAAGTAACAGGTTAAAAACAAATTGTCCTTTGCATTTATAAATTCCACACATG